AGTGTCCTTGGGGAGACATTGGCCCAGGATTTCTCAATCACCCCACACGGGAAAGGATGCTGTAATGTTCTTTCCAGAACTCTTTAAGGGTTAAATCTGTATCTGAGACCATCTGGAAACACAAATAGCCAGCATTCAGCATTCAGGTTGTAACTCAAGACTTTGGTCCTAAGTTAAAACTAAAGTTCCAGGGCCGGGGGTTTAGCTCAGTGGTTCTGGTGCCTGCCTTGAAAGTGCAAGGTCCAAGTTCGATCCCCGGTACCAAAAAAACAAACTAAAGTTCCAAAAAAGCAACAACAAAAAAATAAGAACCAAGATATATCATGTACAGGTACAAACACCTAATGATAAATGTAAACAAATTGTATATCTAAAATGTACCAATAAAAGAACTAAAATAAATAAATAAATAAATAAATAAATAAAATAAAGTTCCAGTGTCGTAACCCAAGTTGTTCCTATGTCAGGCCTGTCATAACATGAGGGTCCACTGTACTCAGGAGGCTGAGGCAGGAAGATTCCAAATTTGAGCCCACTCTGGGCTACTTAGCAAAACCTTGTCGTAGAATTTAAAAATTATGGGCTGGGGATTTAGCTCAGTAGTGCCACCCCTGCCTCACAAGTGCAAGGTCCTGAGTTCAATCCCTGGTACTGAGAAAAAAAAATTAAAAAATTAAAAATGGCTGGGGATGTAGCTCAGTGGTATACCGCCTGCCTAGCATGCACAATATCCTGGATTCAGTGTCAGTACAGCAAACAAACAGTTCTACCTCAACTCAGCATCACCACCATGGGACTCAGGTTTCCAGGATGTGAACTTTTGAGAACAAACTGCAGCATAAATCTGAGCAGAACCCCAATTTGTTGTCTTCTGGTACTCTGTTATGGTTTAAAAGTGAAGGGTTCCCCAAAGCCTTATATATTGAGGTCTCTACCCCCAGCCCAGAGACGGGGTCTAAAGGGGGGTTAGACTGCAGGGAAACCATCCTTCACCTGAGGGGTTCAGAGAGGAAGGCAACCTACGGGTGGGGCCTCTCTAAGCAAGCAGGTCACAGGGGGCTTGGGCCTAAAATGTATATGGACTGTGGCAGGAGGATCTCCGAGAGTTTGAGGCCACCCTGAACTACCTAGCAAAACCCTGTCTCAAACAAACAAACAAAAAGATTCATCAAGGCCCCGCCTGCCTGCTATTCCCCCTACCCCTGCTTGGTACCAGCCAAGCAGCTCTCTGGCGCCAGGCCCATGCGCCATGATAGTCCTGTCTCGCCACAGGACTGAGAACCAATAGAGCATTCCTACCCATGGTCTGGGGCCCCCGAAACTGTGAGCCAAAACAAACCTTTGCTTCTCAGAGTTGTTCTTCTCAAGCCGGGGATTTAGCTCAGTGGTGCCGCTGCCTGCCTCGCAAGCGCAAGGTCCCGAGTTCGATCCCTGGTACCAGAAAAAAAAAAAAAAAAAGAAAGGAAAAAAAGAAAAAAGAAAAAAAGAGAAAGTTCTTCTCAAGTATTTGGTCACAGCAGCCAGAATCTGACTACTGCATATCCCACCTGAGTTATGCACAAAGGAGAGCAGAATAGTTTAATGTGAACCAAGGGGGACTAGGTTCCATCCTGACCCCTGGAATATGAACTTGGAGTAGAAAGTGGGTTTATCTTGTGACCAAGAAGGGTACACTAAGTTTTTCAGGGGTCCCAGTGAGAAGCAGTAAGAAAATGGACATTGGGACAGGTCAGGAGACAGGGTTAGGCTACAACCCCTACCTGAAGAGGCCTTTCTGGACATAACTCCCTATGCTGTGCTCCTGGCATCTGAAAAAGTAACCCACAAAGGGTTTCGTTTGCTGTGTGCACACTTAGTCCGGTCCTGAGCTCTGTCTGCTGGTCTCGGGGTCTGTATGGCTGTAGATTCTTCCAGGGAAAGACTTAAGAAACAAATGAGACTGGAACACTGTTGAGGGAGGGGAAGGCGAAGGAGAGAAGAAAGAATTAAGATGCATTATGTACACGTACAGCTCCCCACAATGAATGTGACTGTTATGTACTGCAAATATGTGCCAATAATAAATAAATAGTGATAACTGTCCAACAATTAAAATAAAACAGTCATTTATGAGAACTACAAAATAGGAGCTAAGCCAGGGATGGTGGCATGAATCTCTAGTCCCAGCTATTTGGGAGGCTGAGGCAGGAGGATTACTTGAGGCTCCAAGTTCCAGACCAGCCTGGGCAACAGACTGAGGTCTGGATCTCAAGAACAAGAAAACGGCCAGGGATTTAGCTCAGTGGTTCCGCCTCCTGCCTCGAAAGTGCAAGGTCCAGAGTTCCATCCCCAGTGGTGGTGATGGTGGGGAACGGGACAACAACAACAAGAAAACAATATAGGAGGTGGGCAAATGCTTATCCAGACAGGACCTAGGGCTGTGCCCTAGGCTTTAAAAAAAAAAAACTGTTGTACTGGTAACTAAGCACAGGGCCTCATACATGCTAGGCAAGTTCTTTCTTTCTCTTGTTATTTTTTTTTTTCCGGTACCAGGATTGAACTCAGGACCTTGCTCTTGTGAGGCAGGCATAGCACCACTGAGCTAAATCCCCAGCCTTTTTTGTTTTTTTG